GGACTCTGGATGTGGCATGGAGGGTTTTCGAGGTGTACTAGATGCAAATGGAGGTTTCCATTAGTAAGTGGGAGCAGTTGCTGTTGTTGGGGAAGCAAGTGCTTGGGTTACTGTTGGTGCATTGGCTCATACCTGTAATTTGTTTCTGTGAAGGTTCTCAGTCATCCAGGTCATTGTAGTCAAAGGAGCTTGCAAAGAAACTTAAAGAAGTCCAGACGCTTTTCTTTGCAAGCTCCTTTGACCTGTAATTTGTCAAATTTGCTGCTGATTATTTTGTTGCAATTCTATGAGTTGTCTTAAGGCCTGTTCATGGCTTCCCAGCATGATTTCTTACTGGGAGAGGGTCTTGTGTACAGTATCTACTGTCGCCTCAATTCATAGCAACCAGATAATTCAGTCAAGGTTGCCTAAATGCACTCAAATGCAGGACATATCTAGAAGTTTACTGCACTTTAATTCTTGTTAAAGTTTTTGCAGCCGAGTTCAGAAATATTACCTTGGAATACTAATAGGCATGTATGGAACTGAAAGTCTTTGTAGAGAGGTTTCAGGTTCAATGAGCAGGTAGGTAAACCATTGAAACTGTGAGTAGGCAAGTGAGGGTACTTAAAGATATCTGTTGTGCATCCAGAGGGTGCAGAATAGACCCCACTAAAAGAATATCAGGAGGATTCTGATTACTTTTCTGTCTTTTCACAGAATAGTGACAGGGTATTTTTTTCCAGCAAGTGGAATGAAAGTGGGCAAGACAGGTAGGGAGGCAGGGCTTGGCCATGATTTTCATAAAGTCCCTGAACAGAGGAGAAGAGAGGTACATATAAGGCAGAATCAATAAATAAGCAAACTGTTAGTAGAATGGTTGTGAAGTGAAGTCATCCAACTTCACTGCTTCTACTCTATGGGGCTTCACTGTTACACCTGTGTCCCTGTCATTCACACACATGTATTCTGTCTTACTTCTCTGACTTCATTCCTCTTCTGTCCAGCACACAGCTCCACATTTTCGGCTCTCTTTCACCTGCTCTCTACTCCCGTTACAGATCACAATGTCATCTGTAAAAATTATAGACGGTGAAGTGGCTGACTTTATCTTTCAATGTGTCCATCACCACTGAAAACAAGAAGAGGCTCAGAGCAGATCCCTGATCGAATCCCATCCGCAGCTTGAACTCACTCCTACAGCACACCTCACCATCATCTTGTCTTCAACATATACATTCTGTACTACCCTCACATACTTCTGCCACTTCCTCAAGATCAGAACTGATCGTTGATGCAATTTTCTCTTTCTTGACAGCCATACTGCTGCTCGCTGATCATCAACAGCTCTTTCCCATTGCTTCATGCTGTGGTTTATCAGCGCTCTCTCCCTGTAGGTAAAAGGTTCACTGCCCTCTCTCCTAGACATCTTGCCTTCATCATGCCTTCACTCACTTCCTCTTTTTGATTTCCAAAGTCATCCTAGCTGCATTCTTCCGTGATACAACAAACATTGCAATCTCCTATCTCTTACAAATTTTAGCATTGGTATAAGTTTTAGTCCATCTGCAGACACCTTCCTCCACACTTATACTTAACCCTTATGACCTCCCTCTTCTTGAAATATTTGTTCACCACAGCCTGTGCATCCTTTTCAAAAATCCAGTAATCATCTGTAGTGTGGGCATGTACATGTACCGTCTTATTAACACACTCTCTTCATTTGTTCACATTACCATCTCTATCCTGCACATCCCTTTCAGCTCTGCCTAGCTAACTTATAAGTCCTTTTAAGCTTGCCTCATATACAATTCACTATATATATATATATTTTTTTTTGCTTTTGCCACCTCGCTTTGTTGTATGCCTACCTTCATAATACTCCTGTCTACTTTGTTCATCTCCTACTTTTTTTTTGCTAGCCTCTTGCTTTGAATACTTTCCTGTACTTCTTGATTCCATAATCAAATCTCCATATCTTCTTTCCTCTGTTCAGGGGATACACCACGCACTGAAACATGCTGAAGATATTTTTTTCAAAAGTTTCAAAATCAAAAGCAATCAAATCAAAAGTTTTTGGATTTTTCATTTCCCCAAAAAATACATTAAAAAATAACACAATTCATTGTGCTACAAACTGAACTAAGAGGACAGAAACAAAGTATTAATTCTGTCGTGCTAGTATTGATGTAATATGAATGTCAGGGTTGTTATCAATACTATCTATATTTGGATAGCTCCCCACAGGAGTTGGGGAGCTTCCACACCGGAAGTAGCATATGCTAACGTGCACATAGTCTATAGCAGACCCTGTCACTCAGTTTTTGCACTTGTGCTTGCTCGCAATGTGTTGCTTGTGCTCTCAACATTTCTGCCTGTGCCGCTCAACTCTTTCTGTACACCGTTATATTTGTGCCACAAAACCAGCCAATCACAGACTTGGATGCAAAATCTGATTGGCTGTTTTGGTCTCCAAGCAGCTCGAAATGACGAAATGCAATATCCCAGAATCCATTTCGTCCAAAACTCAAACAAGGCAGTGGCGGAGGAACACAGAGTGGTAGCGTTTGAAATACTACTCTTTCTGGGTCACAAAATAAACTTTTAAGATATTTTCATGCGAGAATGGTGCTGTGTAAACTTCAAATATCTGCTCGATTTATCAAGACATCACATATTTGCAAAAGTGCTCTAACGTTTTCAGAGATGCCTGTTACCCACCAGCTGACCGCATAGCTGGACTGGCCGTTGGGCATACTGGACATTTGCCCGGTGGGCCGATGGTGATTTTTAATTTTTATGTTTGTTTGTCTTTGTAACGGTATAAACAATGAAAGGTGGTGGATTAGCCAGTTGGTCATGATCAACTCTGGGCTGGACCAATTACAATACATCCGTATTGAGGGGGAAAGGAACGCAATTCGTCCCGGACTTCAGCTACAATGAAAAAGACACAAAGCTGGAGTTATTCTGTCTTTGGTGCACAGCTGCCTCTTCTTCTCTCATTTTCTCCCCACCCTCTCCTGTTGCTACTTCAATCATGAAACTGATCAATGATCAGCTGATCGTCTCTTGTTTGTTTATCACCCACTTTGCGCCAGAAAGAGGAAATCAGCGGATGTCGTGCTAAACAACAGCAGCACGTTCAAGCTTGATAAGCTGTTGTTAGAATTTATTTAATATTACTTTCTAGTATCAGCTGATGTTTGCTGGAGCCACAGCTGTAAAAGCTGCTGGCCATGATATCGGTTTGGATATGTGGTGAGAGGGAAACATGAAGGTGATACAAATCATACATATATACCAACAAGACAGTGTACATCACTGTCACAACAGCGTTTGTTTTAGTTCAAAGGCTTTATAGTTTTTCCTATAATACCTGGTGGTGTAGTTGGTGATTTTTTGTCAGTTCAGCCTTATATATTATGTTTAACCACCACCAGGTCAGCTGGTGGGTAACAGGAATCTCCAAAAACGTTAGAGCACTTATGCAAATATGTGATGTCTTGATAAATCGAGCAAATATTTTAAGTTTACACAGCACCATTCTCGCATGAAAATATCTTAAAAGTTTATTTTGTGACCCAGAAAGAGTAATATTTCAAACGCTGCCACTCTGTCTTCCTCCGCCACTGGTTTGAGTTTTGGACAAATGGATTCTGGGATATTGCATTTTGTCATTTCGAGCTGCTTGGAGACCAAAACAGCCAATCAGATTTTTCTTTTTGCATCCAAGTCTGTGATTGGCTGGTTTTGTGGCACAAATATAACGGTGTACAGAAAGAGTTGAGGGGCAAGCAACACATTGCGAGCAAGCACAAGTGCAAAAACTGAGCGACAGGGGCTGCTATTGTGTGTGTGTATGGATAATAGCAAACACTGAAATACATTTTTTGCATGCAGCAATGGATTTTGTTCACTCAAATTTTGCTTTTCTTCGCTCAAAATAAATTTCTCCTCAAAATGCAACACTTGCACCTGCATTTTTTTTTTTACGTGCGCTCAGAATAGTGGCACAAAAATAACGCCATAAGAATGTTGCTGAGGCACACTGTTTATTACGATCACAGCCTGCTGTCTTTAACAGCCTCACTATCTTTCTTGACTTGTTTGTGCGTGGATTCCTCCCACACGTGTGGGCATCACCATCAATACCAAGCTGGTATAAGACGTAGTTTTGTTTTGAATTGTGGCTTCTCTTTGTCGTTGTTTCACAGAACAACATCATGCTGTGGCGATAGTCAAATTGGCCAGCAGATGTCACTGTGGAGATGGCTTTCACATTCTTTCAAAGCCCGACACGGATGTTCCGAGCGTTTCAGTGTTTTAGGAAGCGTCACAAATGCAGATTGTAAAACACAAGATAATCATTTTGGCTGAGATGAAAACTATAAACTTACTGAAACCTAAAACTTAAACAGCACACTAAGGCTAGAAAACACTGGCACAGGGAGCCACTGGGGGAAAGGCAAGAGGAGACAGGGACTATGTAGACACAAAAGAGGGGTAATCAGGGGAAATGGAGACCGCTGGGAGAACAAGACAGGTGAGCAAAATCACAGGGGAAGTATTAGAGACAATAGATCATCTAAATAAAACAGACGCACACTCAAACAAAAGAAAAACAGAAACAAACTTGTTTTATTTATTGATTTGTTTGGCAATTAAAGCTACAACACTGTTTCTTTAGCATTAGATATACTGACCATGAGATAATTTCCAAGAAAAAAAGTTAAAATGTTAATTTTATTTACTCGTTACCTGTTAAATTTAAAGTTTACTCTTTTTGGATCACTTTTTTCTCACTAAAAAAACATGTCCTCCCAAGTAGTAGTCCGCGATTTAACACGCTTTGTATTTTTGTTTACTTATTTATTTGTAATTTTAGTGTTTTATTTCTGAGTTCGTTAAAATATAAATTTTTAAAAATGCCACCTGGACAGTCCTGTGACAAAACCATGACGTCAGCGTTGCCAGCGTGGAACGAAGGCACGTCGTACGTCAGGTCCAGGAAGTAAACTCTCCGGTTCAGTCTGCAGGAAACTAAAAGAAGTCGGAGCAGTAAATACGTGTCCAATTCAACATTTCAGCACGCAGCCCTCCAGACCGGACACTGCGGCGTGACATAGCTACAGATTTTCTGCATCCGTTTGTGCGGGGTGCACAGCCGGCCAGCCTGTCAGCTGAGTAGTGAAGGTAAGTGAAAGAGAGGAGAGAGAGAGCTCGGTCCGTGCTGTGTGTGACGGACCGAGCGGGGTGGGCGCGCTTGCTCGTGTGTGTCTGTGTCCTGCAAGCTCCGCGTGCCGGCGCGGACGCACTGCTCCTATGCGCTGTCCTCTCGCCGTCTGCTGCGTGGAACCTCTACCAAACCTGTATTTCTAAGGGGACCTATGGAGCAGCCCTCGCCATAATGTACACTAAGGTGGTATGGCAGCTGGTGACACTGCTTTGCTGTCAGGCCAGGAAGGGACAGCAGCCTGACGTGACATCTACGAAACTCCTCCCCCAACAGGACAGCAGCAGTGCGCCTGTCAGAGCATAGATTTGGAGCAGATAGTAAACTTTTTTCTATTTGAAGCTACACTATGTTCTAATACAGTAATAACACTGTAGCAGGCTAAAATAGGCCATTGTATTATTATAAAATAAAACTGTTATACAAGTCAAAACTTAATTCAAACACAATGCAAAAGTGTGTACAGCAAATATTGATTTGATTTAGGGCTTTCTATGCTTCTATGTTTATTGATAATTAATCGTTTTTGTGATTATTTTTTTCTTTTTAATTGAACACAATAATGTAATAATGCACAATATTCAAACATTATCTTGTTTTCGTATACTGTATGAAATTCCCTTTGTGGAGCATTTCCTCATATACGCGTGTGATTTCAGTAGCTGTGTTTTCGTGGTACAATGCATCTGGCAGGGTCTCTCGTGAAAAATTGATTCAGGGTGAGTGGATGACGTGTGATTGTGCCTCTTTACCTCACTATCTTCACCTGTGGCCACTAGCCATGACCAAAAGAATGACATCATGGATAAAAGTGGTATAAATGAGCTTTCTCCAAAAGGGACTGTCTGGCTCTCTTCAGATAAGTGAAGAGAGATCAGAAAACCACCTGCTGCATCTTAATCACGGCTGAGGTAGTTTGGCCATCTGAATGTGATGCATCCTGGCTGACTGCTAAGTGAGGTGTTTCAGACGTGTCTGACTGGGAGGAGATGACTTAATAGATGGTATATTTCTCTTTGGTATTTAGGTCACAATTAGCAGTTTTATATATATACTGGTAATATATTTGAAAAATATGACATTAGTAACATATTATTGTTGGTGTTTGATGTGGGCACACCTCCATCTGCATCTCTGCAGTAATGTTTCAAACATTAGGCACATAAAAGTGTGTTAAATGTTTTTGTGCAGCAGCTGTGCAGAGTAAACACAGTGAAGTTCAGATAGTCCACACACATTTGAATGCTCTACTGTATTTTACCAATGAAATGTAAGCCTGTCAAGTACATAACCTCAGAGTTACAGTGAACAGCTGCCAAATATTCAGTAACTCTCTGGTTAGTCTGTCATGGAATAAAAGGGAATGGGCCTCACCTCGTCATTGATCTGTTTGTCAGTCAGTTGTGCAATGACTGACAATGTCCAATGAGAAACTGTGTATAAACGTGGCTGTAATTGCTAAACATTTAATGCAGTACTTTTTAAGAAAAACCTATTAAATGAAAGCTGAAAGTCTGTGCTTCAAACATATTTTCACTTTGTGAAAGTCTTTTTCTCAAATCTTACAGTCCTCACTATACCCCTGTGGTTTTTATTGTGTTACAGAGACAAGATGAATTTGCATGTAATGATGTGTATACAGTACATTGGATTGTAACCCCCATATTATTCATTTATTATGTATGTACTGTATAACAATACATATCTCTTATTTACAAGTGTAGTGAAGTGGCTGCTGGTTTAATTAGAGAAGCTATCACAATATGTTACTGTGAGCTATCGGGCAGCATTTTTCAGTGTTTCTTAATATTTAATAGAATTAAATAGTAATCAAGAAGGTAATGACAAGATTAATTAAGAATCACAGTAGCTATTTGTTGCATTTGTAATCACTGTAATGCTGCACTTGTGGAATCTGAAGTATTTTATGTCTTCTGTCAGAGACATGAAAATGAAAATGAAACCCAGGAATACATGTGTAATTTCTGTCATTACTATCAGCTGTGAGATAGTATGTAAATAATATAAATGTGTTAGGATATTTTTGAACTTTATAAAAGCTTCCACTGTGGTTTACATTACACTACACTACTGGTAGTGCTATCACATGACTGGAACAATCCCCATCCCAGTCCTTTCATGTTTCTTTTCAGACTTTTAAATTTGAACCCAATTTCTTTTAGTAGAATAGATCATTTATCCATTTCCCTATGACATAAAGTAGTTCTTTATATTTTGCTTAGACGCAGCGATTTATTGAAACGTGTAAACACAAAAGGACAGCATTTATTTGTTAACACACTGAGCAGGCAAACACTCTTGTCCTTTGGTAGTTTTCAGGAATAGTTTTCTTGGTTTCTTGATTCTAAAACTATACAAGTTATAGCTATAGAAGTGCCAGTCCATCTGTTTGACAACATTCATAACACCACTGAAACCTCCACCATGTTGTACAGACTGCAGAAAATCAGTGTGCTTGAATGTACATGTGCACGTTCAGTGAATGAAATTTGTCACACAAGTGAAATTGAAACAGTAATGATGATTATAAAATGTCAGTGTTTTTAAATCTCTTCCAGCGAGCACTCGCATATCAACGAATATGGTGGACTCCACGTTGGATCAAGTGGGAAAAAATCTGAGTGAAGCCATGAGGTTCCTGGGAGAGGAACAGAGGTAAGAGTTCATCACACTGCAGCTATAAAATAATATCAGCAAACTACCAAGCAATTATCTTGAGTTAGGGATTGTGACCTCACCAATGCAATGCATTATGGGACCGCAACATACAAGTCTGAGTTATTGGAATATAGAGAGGTTTGAAAGTTTAATTGTGGACATTGGAAACTCATCATAATGTTGAGCTGCTGGGCTGTAAAATGATAACTGCACTTACACAAACCTGCTGCTGCACTAAAACGTGTTTGTATTGACATTTAATGCTATAATAAAAAGATATAAAACTACTTCATATCTGAATGGCCTTTATTTTTAAGATACAGAGTACAGTCAACTGCAGGGCAGAATATTACAACACTGAAAGCGAAGTAACACTTTGCAAAATCTGTTTGTTTATTTAGAGAGCCGGAGGCAGCAACAGAGAGACAGCATTTCAGCAGAAGCTGCATCCCTGGACCCCTTCAGGGAGAGTAAGGCACAAGCACAAACACACACGCGCGCGCGCACGCACGCACGCACGCACGCACGCACGCACTTACATGACAAAAACACATACACTCATATTCACATACAGGCAGGTCAGGTTGAAGATTATTGTTTTCTTGGCAGTTGTGATATACAGAAGTAAATTCTAATTGTCTTGTTAATGTGGGAGAAAGAACATGGAATCCTCTTTTTTCACAATACTGTGTCTGTTAAGAATTCACAGTGCTTCACTTGTTCCACATTTTATCGTGTTACCCTTATGAGATGTATGTATTAAAATGTAGTAATGTAAACCTCTACACATAATGACAATGTGAAAAAAATTGCTTGAAATTGTTGCAAATTTCTTAAAAATAAAAAAACAACATATAAATATTCACCGCCTTTGCCATTGAGTCCACCTGTTATAAATTCAGTTAACTGGACATGATTTGGAAACGCTCACCCCTGTCAGTATAAGGTCCCATATCAGAGCACAAATTGAACCATAAAGTCCAGTGAGTTGTGTGAGGACCTCTAAGACAGGATTGTATCAAAGCACAGATCTGGGAAAGGCTACAGAAAAGTTCTGCAGTATTAAAGGCCCTAATGAGCACAGTGGCCACCATGATGAAGGAGTTTGGAGCCAGCAGGACTCTTCCTACAGCTGGACCTCTGACAGAGCTCCAGCATTGCTCTGTAGAGAAAAGAGAACCTTCCAGGAGGCTAGCCATTTCTGTTGCCAGTCAGGTCTGTATGGTAGGGGGGGCAGATGGAACCCAAGCCTCAGTAAAATACACATGACAGCCTGACTGAAGGAAACCAGGCACTGCTCGACACTTTGCCAAAACCATCCCTGCAGTGAAGTATGGTGGTGGCAGCATCATGCTGTGGGGATTTTTTTGTAGGCAGCAGGAACGATGCAGGAATGTACAGAGACATCTTTTGTGTGGGGAAAACATGCAATCCATTTTAGAGAAAGGCTGTAGCACGGTTAAATGTGAAACAAATCAAGCACTGGGAATACTTTCCAGATGCACTCCATTTATCAGTGTTGAGTCTGTGTGGATTAGAGAAAAAAATAAATTTAAACTTGTGCATCCTCATTTAAATTTTATTTTTTTTGAAGTCACTGAACTGATACCAGCAATACCAGTGAATCAGCACTAGAAACGAGAGATGGAAGAATATTTTCTGAATAGGCAAAGATAAGTCCTACTTCTCAACAAGTTTCAAAGTGAATATAAAGGGAGGGATAGAGAGAAGCTGACAGGGAATGCTTTGTTGTTGGACTTTTAGATTTAGTTCCACTCACTTCAGTACATTATAGTACATTTGATATGAACTGTGAGAACTGTTCCTCATGTCTCCTGTGCAGTGGTCAGGATGTTGCCACTGTACTGCGCCTGGTTCATAACCTTATTCATGAAGAGGAGGATGAAGAAGATAAACCCAGTCAGAAGTAAGTCAGTTTTATTTACATACCGCCATTTCACAATAATAGTCCGCACAAGGCTAATCAGAAAAGGCTCATCAGAAAGTGCTGTGTTCAGCAGGATGCAGAATGTGGGTGAACACGGTCAGATGGCATTGCTGGGTCACAGCCTGGCAGCCTACATCTCAATGATGGACAAAGAACAACTGCGAAAGCTGACCACTCGGATCCAGTCTGACACCACCCTGTGGCTCTGCAGGCTCTTCAGGTATGACCCTGCAGCTGTGTGTCTGTGGAAATCACCATCATGCACATGCCATATGACATCTTGTCTTAATTATTAAAAGATTTCTGAAAATGAGGTCTACAAACATGCTAACTTGGTGACTTCTTCAGACTGATAATAACAGGACCAATTCCTTTTCACTACAGACTTCAGGAATTATTTACAGAAGAATAAGAAGTATTGTTTGAATTGATATTGTTTCTACAAAGCAAGTTTTGATTTTGCAAGGCCTGATGAGGAGGGCACCAGGAGCACCTCTACATTATGTTTTGGAGGCCACCTTTCCAGCTCCCTTCTTCATGCAAATGAGTTTGCTATTTTTTTAAATAAAATCTTAAAAATATGCCAATATAGAACAGAGTCCTAATATACTGCCGTTATATTTAGCATCTAATTTTTAACAGTTCTTCACTCGTCTCCATCCGGTCAACCCTCCCTGCACTCCCTGCTTCACCTCTCTTGTGCACTGTCTATTGCTTCGGTTGGTTATCCACAGGTATTTAAACTCATCCAGCTTCACTCTTATACCTGTCTCCCTCTCATTCACACGCATATATTTGTCTTGCTTCTATTGACTTTATCTCTACCATTCCACGCTCTCTTATACATCTGCGAACACCGCAGAGACTCCGGCCTGACCTCAAGTGTTAACCTATCCATCACCAGTGAAAGCAAGAAGGGGCTCAGAACTGATTGTTGATGTAATCCCACTCGCATCTTGAACCCATCTGTAACACTAGACATCTCACCACTGTGTTGCTGTTAGTGATGGGTCGTTCGCGAACGAAATGGCTCTTAGAGCCGGCTCTTTGAAGTGAACGACGCGAGCCGGCTCCTTATTGGGAGCCGTGAGGT